TGTGTGTGTGTGTGTGTGTGTGTGTGTGTGTCGATACTAGCACACTGTCTGTAACGTTCCTTTTTGTTGCGATCAGGAGGGTACTATGGGTGTGTGTCAAGTCGCGCGTCCGAGCGTGCGCGCGGCAATTGCGCGGCAAAGTTCGTGGCGAATTTGGACGATTCCGGCGCCTATCATTGGGGCCCAAATCTGAAGTAAGATAGACTATTAAGGTCAGCTGATCCTACTATTCTACTGCACTCCGAAATTGGGCGCAAAAAACAGGCGCTGAAGTCGCCAGAATAGCTATGGGTTTCGCCGCGCAATTTGCCGCGCGCACCCTCGGAAGCACGACTTGACCGTCCCCCGGGTACTATAGGTATTTATTATAGTTGCGGTGCCTAGCTATAAAGAAAGGATCAGCGCCCGAGGTGGTCATACGTTCATTTCGAAAATTGAGTAAATAGTATAGCATTGAACCGGAGTTCAATGCTATACTATAACTTTCGGGGCCTCAACTTTCGAAATGAATACTATACTACGAAATACTATAACTACACTTATGACTACCCCACCATAGGTTCAACTCACGAGGAAATGGACGTCGCTATAAGTTCCTAAACCAGTGGTCAGAAAACATCAAATTTACAAGAGAAACCCGTGGGAGACTGGCTTCTAATTTAAAGGTCCAAGTCCAGGAACTTAAGAACGCGGTAAGAACCAAATGGGACCTCCACTCAAGCTGTAGGAACATAATAGTTCACTACTCTTTGCATCTTATGAAAACCAAACGGGCGGTGGTTAGCAATTTTTCGCGTTCCATACACTCTTCAAAGACATCTTGTCCGCAATCGACTCTACGATACCGACACAACTCCTGACTGTGTATTATTCCCTTATCACAAAAAGGGTGAAGCCTTAAGGTGAAAGTCATCTACTCAATCTTCTGTCGAAGTTGTAGAAGCGAATACATAGACACATCGTTGGGCTGGCTGAATCACGAGTGCACCCCCTCAGGAGCTCATCGGGTTTTATACCACACAGGCGGGGGAAGTTCGATTCGTGCGATTCTGGGTGAGCGTGGCAAATTGTGCGGCGAAATTCGGTGTGATTTGGACGACTGCAGCGTTTATCATTGGGGCCCAAATTTGAATTCAAGTAGGTTAGTAGGATTGTCCGGCCCTACTTAAGTACCCTACTTCAAGTTTGTGCCCCAATGACAGGCGCTAGAGTTGTTTGAATCACCGCGAATTTTGCCGCGCAATTTGCCACGCTCCCCCAGAATCGCACGAATCGCCACACACACCTCCACGCAGACACGCTAAAACGATTGGCGCTAAAACTGAGATCGCTCCACGCAAGATGCTCGAAGCAATTTGGATCACGGCTAAAGGTCCTAAAATGAACAAGAGTAAGGACACTCAAATGAAGAAAGGAGGGTGGAGCGTGAGATCATAACCCGCAGAGTAGCTCCCACCCTCCACCTTTGTAACTTTTTATTCACTGGGAGCTCGGCGGGAGATAATAATAGTCACTACATACTAGAATTATTACGAGGTTTTTCGTTGCTTTATTTTTTATAGCAGTAGACTTCAAGGCGAGGAGTCCCATGTCTCCATCAATCAATACCTCTGAAAGTATCCCGATCTAATGAAAGGATCTTGGGCTTCTTGTTGAAGCATTTGAGTGGGCAAGACACATTCCTTTTTGATCATTTCAAGCTCTGACAAAGGCGAAGAATCCGATACGCTGGCCTATTAAAAATTTGGATATTGAAAGGGTTGAAGAACATTCTGACTGAACTTACCCAGGCCAAGAAAGCAAGAAGTTCGAACAAGGACTAATCGAGTATCGAGGCTTTTGGATGCATCTAACTAGAAACAGCAAGTTTAATCAATCACGGAATAAATCGAATACATGCTAGTCTATCAGTCATACTTCCATACCGCTTTGAACGGCTCAATTATATTTTGCAACACACTCAACCCCAGAGATAGGTGATGGGGAGTGGGAGTTCCATCGCGATACTTTTACGTTTTGGTTGTTCCCCTGAAGTTGAGAAGCGGCAGTAGGGAAGATTTTACTGCTGGCACTCCAGTGAAAGCAGCTCCCGAGTGACAGCTCGGTTTACTGTAGCACACACTCAAGGGACGTTTGAATTTTTCTTTGGAAACAGAACAATGCGGGCCGAGTTTGCTTCCCATGCAAAGAATTCAGGACATAAATACATACATAAAATATAACAGTCGGGAATTAAGAGAATTGAATCGTAGAATATTTCTGACTAGAAGTGTGTTGGACCGCGACAGCACCGACGTAGTGTAGTATTGTCTGCTTTCAGAGTTCGACGGTCGTCCGTTCGACGCGTGCGTGCTGTGACGGTGGTGCTAGATGGGTGTTGACAACACCTTATCACGCGCCAGCGCTGTCAACAACAATCTAGAACCGCCGGTGCGACACGCACGCGATCGCCGTCGCGCGCGCGTTGAGCGGACGGTCGGATGGATCGTTGAGGTCTGAAAGCAGCCATTGAAATATGTGCGCGCGGGAAAATGATGCAAAAACCTTCACGATTAATGTGATTTTTTCGAAATCGCAGGGCGTGTACCGCGCGCTAAATATACGGCGTGGCCTCTTCGGCAATAGAATCGAACGTGCTAAGTTTTACTGTCGCCTAAACCTACACCCTGAAGAAACGCCGGCCGAGTTTTTTTGGCAACTTGCCCACTGTTTGAATCTAGTTCGTTGCGGGACCCATGCCATCGTGGCTTTGCTGTAGCTTCACTTTGATGTTCCGTTTGAATTGCTATTGGAAGAAGTTGTGGTAAGAGTGTCCGCACACATGAAAAATCCGAATGTAAAGGTAAAGGTGGCATAATACGGTGTTTGAAAGAGGTTATATGACATATTGGGAGGAAATTTTCGAAAATAAGATGCGAACCATGGGAAGAGGAAAGCTTTACGAAGTCTTTCCCGATGGATGTAGAAACGGGGATCCGGAACGGCAAGTATTTCCATTTCAGTTCAAATTCCACTCAGCTGCTCATTTCTTTGGACAACAGGAATACACTTTCTGTAGGGTGGAACTTTTTTCGTGAACTTTTGTGCCTCCTCCCGATATGTCATATAACCTGTAACCTGAAACGATTTCTGAACGGTTCACTGTGTAGAGAGCCACAATACATTTATTTCGATTACATTACCATTAATAACCCATCCAGTAAGAGTATGCCACCATAAAACGTTTGATTGAAATGGAGTGATGTTCAAAACCAAGACTGCGTCACGGGAAAAGGCTAATCAGTAAAACGAAACTAAAAGACACAATATCAATTACAACCTTACTCATTTTAAATAATGGGAATAACGTGCATGTTTCCTTTTGGTCTAATGGTATGACTTCATTTAAATGCGTTTC